CGGAGCTTCAAAGATTTCTTATCCTGCGGCCCCCTCTATAGATCAGCATTAGTATTACAGCCAAAGTAAATCTATGGGATTTTGGGGAAAATCTGATCAGTTAGAAGTCAGAACAGTTTGAAGGACTTCTGCCTGTTGTCTTCTGCAAGGCAGCCATGTTTTTGTAGTGTCAAAAAAATCACATGACCAGCGACTAGTCGACATCAAGCTTAATGCGTCATTTCCTACCTTCCATAATGAAGTGTTTTGACGCTCGTCTGACAGCTCTCTTCCTGTTTTTGCCTCTTTTGATTGTGTCCACATGGTAAAGGCCACCACTCTCAATAAAGCGCTTCACCTCAATGTGCATCGCAAACTCTGCCATACCTGTAAAAACATACAGATGAGCCATTCCTTTAAATGCACTTTGAAACTAATTTAGTTTTTTTTAGAGAGTGAAGTTGAACAAGCTAATCAAGTTCTTCAGGATTACTAACAACCCTGGTCTATATATAATTACAAAAGATTTCAATTGGCTTGTGTCTGACAAATTTGTAATTTGTTTTTAAAAAGCTGTGCTGCAACATTAACTAATTGCAAGCAAAATAAAACATTGTGAAATAATTTTATGTTTGCTGGGTTGTTCACCTAAAACCAGTATGACTTTCTTCAGTAGAATGTAACACAAGTAAGACTTGTTTTGCTTATGTACAATATAATTCATAAAATAACTACAATGAGGCTAAAGGCGCACCGGGGTAAAAGGCACATTTGACTAATTTCAAATATTCACCGTAGCACTTTTGACTATGTACACAGAAATGTGGCTGATCCCTGACGCGATCGCAGACATTAGAGCTGCTTGATTCTGGTTAAATTGAGAATCACGTTTATTTTTTTTTGTTTCAAACTGAGATCACGATTCTCCCACGATTCTGAACAGACAACCAAACAAAACATAATTTGCTAGAATTTCTGACAAAATGTTTATTATTACAGTCTATTTAAAATGTTGAACTGAACTAATTGGAATTAATTATTTTAAAAAACGGTTTGAATTAATGATAATAAACTAAAATAACTAGCTTCTGACAGATGGCCGTAGGCATTGATTTACAGTGGAAGAGTGACCTCTGACCCCACAGTGACCTCTGACCCCACGCATGACGCATTGATGAACGCGGAAGCGCAGAGGCAAAAGAAACCACCAGACACGAATTAGATGTCTAAAACCAGAATTTTCAAATAATCATTTTGGATTTCGATATAAGAGAAGAGGAGCTTGAGTTTGTTGCCCAGCCTTATTATTTGTTTGAACCGCGAGAGGCTTAAAAGCTTACACTACTCCTACATCATACATGCGTCACAAGTTACTCTTTTGGCATAAGTTGACTTGCCCGTCTGCCGGAAGCTAAATAGTTTTTTCATATGGATGTTTATCTTACAAAAACCCATTGCTTTGCTTCAGAAGGCCTTTATTAACCTCCCAGAGTTGTATGGATTATTTTTATGATGAATGGATGCACTTTTTTTTACTTCAAAATCAGGAGAGCCATATATTTCCATTATAAAGCTTGAGAGAGCAATTATATGTTTTAATATAACGCCAATTGTGTTTGTCTGAAAGAAGATACCGGTAGTCATATACACCTAGGATGACTTGAGGGTGAGTAAACCATGGAATAATGTTCATTTTTGGGTGAACTATCCCTTTAATAATTACTTACGCGGAGGGATATCTTGCAGTGATTTGGGAGCGATCAGGCGGCAGAGGATTCTGCTCTCTCTAAAGCCTTCCTCGAAGGACTATCTTCGCCAATCAAACAATAATTTGTCCAAAAATAGCGAATCTCAATGTAGAATGTGATATGGTCTCTCGGTGGCATTATAAGGAACGGTTGGCAAGATTTTAATCCAATAACAGATTATCAGAGTTCTTCGCGCCAAATTCAGTCCTCCACCCTAAGACCCCAAAACACCGCCGATTTAAATCACATTTATCATCAGATAAGTCTTTACAGTTTCTGATGACAGAAACAAGACAATCTTTAAGTTTTAAGTATACGAAATAGTACTCTTCGATCCACGTTATTATACACAAGGCTGCACCAATGTAGTAAAAGTCACTAAATACTTCATAACAAAAAGCTACTTCCCGCAGTGCGTGACAGTGACTGGCGTTTTCAACTTACAGTCTGGTAACTGATTTCACATATGCTGTATGCTTTTCTCATTACAGTAATTTACAGGTATGTTGAACCCACCTCGTCCGTTGTTTGTCCCGCTAAATCTGCTCTGCTGAACTCGCGGAGCCGCGGGCGCGCTCCCCTCAAGGACCCCAGAACGACGGAGTCTGAGTCAGTGCCTGATTGGAAATTGATGTATAATGGTTGATGATGTTGTTGATGAGCTTTGTCTTGTGGTATAAAATAAATCAATTCATATATTTTACATTAGGGCCTATCACGTGATACAACCAAATCATCAGGTGGTTTTGAACTAGATTTCATAAATGTAGCCTAATAGTACAAAATGTAGTAGCTAAAAGTGGGAGCATGACGAGTACTTGGCTACAGATCTATTTAAAAATGGGAAGTATAAATACTAAATTTATTTTGTTTCATCACTGTCTGTCTCCTTTACTTTCCACCAGGGCTGTAACCACTGTAATTCATATGTGAATGTTACGAGACAAGAAACGTTTTGCATTTTTGACATGAATAAGAGTGAATCTGTGCATATTTTAAAATAAAATAGGCTACGTTTTATTTATTTTTTGAATTAGACATCAAGACATGGTTATGGCCCTGCTTCACACACACACACACACACACACACACATACAGACTCAGTATAGCTACTGCAAAATTATTGGCACCCTTAACGAAAATTATCTAAAATTAACAGTTTTCAAAAACAACACATGCAATAAATTATATTTTGTGCTTAAGTTAAAGGATGCACTGCATATCTTTTTTTTACACAGCTTTTTGGAACAAAATAATGTTTTCTGTGGTAACTCAATTAAAAGCACTGATTTCACACAAATTGCCACCCCCATTATTGATATTTGCTAAATCTTCCTCTGACAAGAATAACAGCACTGAGATTATTTCTAACAAGGTTGGAGAAAACCTGTTGAGGAATATTTAACTATGCTTTGCAGGATATTTCCAGTTTCTTTACGTTTACATTCAGGGTTAAAATCTGGAGACTGAGAAGGCCATTGCAAAACTTTCAAGTGCTTCTGAAGCCATTTCTGTGCGAATTTTGATGCGTGTTTGGGGTCGTTATCTTGCTGAGAGGTTCAAGTTTTAGCCTTGTGGAGGCAACCAGATTTGGGGTTAAAATTTCTTGGTATTTAAGAGAATTCATTATGGCTTCAATCTTGAGTCCCAAGACATTAGCAAAACAGCCCCAAAGCATCAATGACGCACCACCGTATTGGGAATCAGGTGCTTTTCTTTGTATATGCACTGCCTTTTTACCACCAAACATGACGAATATGTGCATGACCAATACGTTTAATTTTTGTCTCATCTGACCACATTACACAATTCAGGTCAAATTTACAATGATGTTTTGCAAAGTTCAAGCATGCTCTTAGGAAGGGATTTTTTGGTGTATTTTGAAATGTGAAAACCCCAAAATTTAACTAAAAGATGGTAAATTTTCAACTGCCGCATGCTTTTTATTTTTTATAATTGCGCAAATTGCCCATTTTAATTGACTACTGATTTTTTATGACTATTCCCTAATCTGTGCAGTGCTAGAATCAAATGGCTTTACCCATGTTGATGGATGAGAAAATTATTTTTTAAAATGTGCAACCTCGAATTTATACCCTTGGACAACAGGATGGTCATAAAAAAATTGTTGCCAATAAGTTTTTAAAAGAATACACTATTATATATATATATATGTTTTTTAAAAAATGAAACCACTTTTGTAGGAATGTTTTTTTTCTACATATATGCGCAGTTTCTCCAAACATTGTGAGAAAAGTTGAAATATTATAAAAAATTGTGTCGTTTTTTTTTTTTTTTGAGGTTTGCCAATAATTTTGGAGTTGACTGTGACTGTATATATGAATGTTTGTTCCCTCTCCAAAATGCATCAGAGACAGTGGCATTCCAGTCCGGTGATCATAAAATAACACTGATCTGTGTGAGCACATTACACAAGAGTCACAATATAATGAAGGCAGATTTGCATAGAAAGCTTGAATTGCCTTTTCAGGACCAGAGTATTCTTCATAAAGGCCAGATTGGGGCATGTTGTCACAGTTTTATGTTGTAAATGCTGTAATCTTATGCAGATTATTAATTAGCTTTAATATTTACAGCATTCGCAGAAGATTCTATAACAGGCTGTTTGTGAGTGACAGCATTTTTTAATGCTTTATTTGAAAATTCAGTTTACAGTGTGAAACAACACAATTAGAACACAATAATTATTATGAATAATAAAGAATAGAAAACACTTCAAAAACACCATAGCACAAAACAAAAACAGAACTAGACAGTAAAATAAACAAGAATGGGGGGGGGAAAGAAAGAAAGAGGGCTTACTTTAATTACTTTAATTAAAAGAAATGTAAACATGAATTAAGGTAAAAAGTTTGTAGGTCGTGCAAATTGTACATGTTCTGAGTGCTTTTGGGTTAAGAGAGGATGAAATTGTAATCAAGTAATGTTTTATCTCGTGTAAGAATAATAAAAAAGTGTCAAAATCAGATATAAAAATATTTGACAGGGTAAATATTATGAATTAATTAAAAAGATATTTCTTTTACTTTGTTTGTGAGGAAAACGAAAACCCTTTGTTGTATGGACCATATATTTTTCCAATTTACATGATCAAAAAGTCCATTCCAATATGAGATTGTAGGAGGGCCAGAGACAATCTTCTCAAAGAATAGAACTCTTACTTTATAATTTCTTCCTTTTTCCCCCCAGTGAAACATTTTATAGTGACAGCATCCAGGGCGGGCAAGCGGCGTGCTGACGTCACCGGGGGGGTCTCGATCCGCCAATAGGAAGCGTCTGCTGTTTCTGCTTCCTGGTGTTGATGATGCGGAGCGGATGCTGAGGATGAGGAGGAAGATCTCGCGCAAGGTTCGTTTTCTGTTCCTCTTGTAATATATCACTCATGACAGCGCATAATAACCGTTAATAACATACGATTCTACTTCAAATACAGGCGCAGTTTAATATTGTAATGTTATATAATAGTATTTGCTGGGAAAGATCACCGTCATATAAGGGGGTCGCAGTGACGTCACACGCGTTTGAGAGACTGTATGGTGATTAGCTTCACGCGTTCATGTTATTGTGTTCCTGCTGTTTCTGTGTGTCTAACTGAACGTGCACACAATATTACCATAACATACCACAATTATTTAAAGGAATATGGGATCGCCCTGTGTAAGACGAGTCTTTCAGTTGTGGTAATTGTCTCAAGCCTTATTGTGATATTGCAGTAATTATAGTATTTTTGCAGAAACGATTATGAATGCCCTTGGTAAATTATGTTGAGGGAACTTCAGTTATTTTCCCTTGCCGTTCTGACTCTCATTGGGCAAAAACTGAATGAACAGGTTTTTAAAACAGTGATGTGAGTTTTGCCACACCTCGTCATATTTTGGTAAATATGCCTCTTCATATACAGTGTTATTTTGGTATTATTGATATACTATTAGGTTTAGTCCCTAAACTTAGGTTCTAATGTGCACTCATGACATTAATACTGCAATATTTTAGTTGCTTTGTGTATCGTTAAAAGAGCTGTTAAATCAGCTTGATGTAAAGTGCTTCGTTAATAAACATTACAGGATCGCAGTCATTCTTCATCAGAAAACACTGAGTATTTCTCAGTCTCTGTTAGAGTATGAAGTGAATATGAACTTTTGCGTTTGGTTTTATTCAGGATAAAGCCTCTTCCGCACCATGATCAGATGGAAACACGCGGCTGCTTTCTGTGACAGAAGTCAGGGGTCGCAAAGGTGAGTCGTCCATTGTGTTTAATTTCACAAACTGGCGTGGCATGGCAAGAAACATAAACGTGGACATAGACTTACACAACAGTGGTCACAGGAAACAATACTTGACAAAACACATGGCAAACATGAGGGCTTAAATACACAAGACTAATGACTAGACAAGGGACACCTGTGAACAATGAACCAATGACAACATGACATATCTTTTTTTTTTATTTTTTTTTTTTTTTTTATTAAAATGTAAAATTTACAACAGTATCCGGTTTAGTCAGATTTTACAAACATATAAGTGATAACAGGAAACAAAGCACATAGAATGACAGACATATACAACATGACATATCAGACAAGGGAACACATGGCAGGATCACATGACTTTGAACAGGGGATCACATGACAGACATGAAACATGACAAAGACCAAATCGTGACACTAATACATTAATAAAATCAAAGGTTGTCTTTGGTAACATTAGTTATGTTCAACAGCTGGATTTTTTTTTTTTTTTTTAAAGATTAATAAAAACTGTAACAAGTGTTTTGTTCATTGTTAGTTCATATTAGTTAATACATTAACTAATGTTACCTAATGAACCTTATTGTAAAGTGTTACCTATATATATATGTTCTCTGTGTTGCGCAGGTGGACACTGGCCTTGCTCCACATGTGTGTGAACGCAAGAGAGACCGGAGGCCTTCTGGAGGATTATTATTAATCACCAGAAATGTGCCACTTCAGAAGTGTTTTCACAACTACAGATCCATCGGCTGGTTCTGGTTCCTGTGGACATTTGCCCTTTCTAACCGATAGACAAACATGGCAAAGAAAGACTATCTGCTCGATGCAGCCCAGCAGATTCGAATGGCGCTGGACAGAGAAGTCAATGAAGATTATGAGGCGGCGTTCAGCTACTATAAGAATGGAGTCGATCTGCTGCTCAATGGAGTTCAAGGTACTGTTGTGTCCTCTGGCTTTATAGCTAAAAGAGCTCATCAAATTATATAGTGACTGAAAATTATTACTGACAGTGTGAAAAACACATTTTTGGACTGTCAACCGTTGTTGACTTATTAAGTGCAAACTCATTGCCTTGATTCACTTCTAATGTTTAATTTAATTGAGTTCAGTCAAGGTAAACAGAAGTCAAAAAGTGATTATTCTTTACTTATCGTTAGTGTTGTCAGTCACCAAACTTTCAGTTATCGTTACCAATCCTAGTAAAATTTCATCTATCAATTTCAGTACCATAGAAAAACTATTTAAATGTTTGGAAATAAAAATTTTGGTAACACTTTACAATAAGGTTCGTTAGTTAACATTAGTTGATGTATTACCTAACATGATCTAACCATGAGCAATACATGTGTTACAGTATTTATTAATCTTTGCTAATGTTAGTTAATAAAAATACAGCTGTTCATTGTTTGTTCATGTTAGTTCACAGTGCATTAACTAATGTTAACTAATACAACCTTTGATTTAAAAAATGTATTAGTAAATGTTGAAATTAATATTAACTAAGATTAATAATGTTAACTAAGGTAGTTAACTAATATTAAATAATGAACCTTATTGTAAGTGTTACCTAATTTTTTTAATGAAATGTTTATACTGATAATACAATTCTAAGTAATAGATTTGTCAGGTTGTGGAGGAAGGAGTAATTGAAGCGAAATCTGATTTTAAATAAGAAATATTCCAAAATAAGATGACGAACACAGATATGAAACCCAAGCATAACGACGAGCAAAGACATGCATGGAGAAGAGAGAACTGAAACACAGGGCTGCAAATAGACCGAGTAAATGAGGAACTAGAGAAGTCACAGGTGTGGAGAATCAGTAGCTGAGGGTGAAGAACAACCTAGAGATCAAGGCAGCCATGAAAACAGAAGCTAAACCACAGGAAAAGCAAAGACTTCAAAATAAGATCGTACAGACAGGGCCGTCGAAGATACTTTAAAACAGCATGTTGCCTTCAAATATTGCTTTGAAGGTGGAAAACCAGTAATAAGAAACACATTGCATGTAACAGAACAAGTGCACTGCAAGATTTGTTCACCCATTCATTGCTATTGTTGTTATCACAATGTCAGTCATTGCAAAGTTTTTTGGGGGGGGATGTCACTCCCGAAACTTTAGTGTTACAGAGGTTTCTGTAAATTTCAGTATAAACAACATTTGTTGTGGGCCATGACACAAAGACGGTCAGCCACTGTGTTTAAAACAAGTTAAATAAAAAAAAAAAAAAAGGTGGTTTTGCAATACCAATACATAGAGGTAATCACTCAAAAAAAAAAACTTAACTTGAACACCTCGAATTTATGAGGTAATTGTTGTGTATTTCCAAAATAATTAGATTAAAGTCTACAAATAAATGTAGAGAATTTAAACAACTTCGCAAACAAACCGAATTATATCTCTGTATATCCGAATTGGAGATGTTAGTTTAATTTGTGAGCATTTGTTTGAAAAGAAAGACAAGATATAACTTATATTTGCACACTTGGTTCAAAACCATCCAGAGTTTTGAAAAGCGTTCCACGCGTGATAATATCCCATGAAAAGAAAAAGAGAAAAGAAGCAAGCGTAGGTTAATTTGTAATGAGGGTGATACATAATCTAAATCATCACAGCATGAACTATTTTGAAAAAGGAAAACCTACACACTTGCATCCTCTGTTCTTTCTGGGACTACATTGTTTGATAATTTTGATGATTGCATGATTTGGATTGGAAAAGTCTGGTAGGATGGATAACATTAAAACTGTGTTTAGCAAAGGGTCGATCATTGATCTCCACGCTAATGCAGAGTCTTCCGTGTCTTACAGTGGATCCAAATAAAGAGAGACGAGAAGCCGTGAAGCGGAAGACCACTCAATATCTGAAGCGAGCCGAGGAGATCTTCATCTCTTACTTACAGGACAACATCTCTAAAGGATCCACACATTTAGGAGTAGGTGACAAATGTGCTTGATGAGATCTTGCTGAACATGATTTTTCTCTTTTGATTTGAGTTTTTTTACTTTTATGGCCAAACTCCCACAATTCACCCCTTTAACCCGAATAATCAAATTACTAAGCAACCACTGAATTGAATAACACAAAATATTATTTTAAAGCTTAGAAACTCTCCGTACTGTCCATGTATAATAATAATAATAAAATAATATTTTTCAAACCTACTGCCTTGAACAACACAAAATCAGTGTCATTTGAAAGCTTAGAATCTGAACTTTTCGATTTGATAAACTCCTAAGTTGTGCTGAGTTATTTGCTGATAAATAAATAAAAGTTTTGGAGTTATGAGTCCTTACTTTTGTGTATGTCACTCTAAAACTCTACAAATGTAAAAATGCCTTCAGGGCTTAAGGGGTTAAATAAGTAACTTTATTCACTTATCTAAAGTTTAACTTGAAGAAATTGTAACATAAATATATTACTATTATACAGTAGAGTATAATGTACTTAGTAATACTCGCAGTAATAGTAATAAAAAAATAATTTTAACAGTGAACACACAATTTCTAATAAGATAAAATATAAAATGTATTTGTTTTATAATTCAATTGATTAGACATGCGTTTTTTATGACTAAAATGCCTTAAATATGTAATTAAATACACACACACACACACACACACATATATATATATACAAAAATTATATATAATCAAATGGAATTCGGGACAACATGAAATTAATTTCATGGGGCTCTAAAAATGTAATTTATTTTAATTTTTAATTAATTGTTCAATAAGTTTCATTATTTCAATCAATTAGACATGCTTTTTGAGTACTAAAATAAAATTGTACATTTTAAATGGAATCCAGAAAAATTTAATTGGGGGAGAAAAAAAAAAACGAAATCCACTCCAACTGCCGATATCGTTCTGATTATTTTAAGCGCTGCAGTTTTGTCATTTCCACTTTAAATGCTCGAACTCTTTAAAGCAGGATGGATTCTGATTGGCTGTCGATGTTTTTATAGTTCCTAAGCTGGACAAAATCACTCTAAAAGTAATTCTAACGATGTCATTCCTCTGTGGTGTTATAGTTGTAGTTGTGGTGTGGACTTCGCTTTTCTCTTAGAGTTAGAGCGATTATTAAATCTTTATAAATATCGTTATAGTTATCGTCCTTGTAGTGAACAGGTCTTAAGTGGGCGGCTCTTGGCCAGAATAAGCTGCAATGTGAACCATATTTTTGCTATTAGTTCATATCCTGACTATGTTTTTTTCTCTGATTCATGTTATTTTCCTGGTCATCAGGGTTATAGTAGCTTACGGTTTCGGTCGATCAGACATCTAAGTTCGCCGGTGGAGAATCTGGCGATGTGCAAAGTCGTTGGAATCATTGATAAGGTACAGTGTGTGAGAAATATCTGCTCCTCATGCTTCTCATGGCTTACAACTACTCTCTATATGCCAGGACATTAAAGTCATTGGAAGTGCAATAGTTATAATAGTTCTAAATGTGTGTTTTCCACAGGTGCTGACGGTTGAAAGTCTGATAAGCAAGGAGACATTTATTGTTAAGGTAGGCATTTGAAACAGAAGTATTCTAGTGTATGGGTTCCTTTCAGAAGTGAGCGGGAATCAGGCCATCCGGGCCGACACTGTGTTGCTGTCTGGGCTGTTATTACTGCGAGTCTGCTTGGATTGATCCTGTTAAAAGCGGCTGTGTCTAAATCTGAGTACAAACTCGTCTCGGGTTACTGAAACCAGACACTTGAGATATTAGAATTGGCCAGTTATAGAGACAGGTGGACAAAACAAAAAAGTCATTTGAAACCAGCAAACACTAAAGGAAATACAATAAATATTACAATGCTGTTTAAATAATATATCATTATTTTTCTGCATTACAGCAATGAAAATTAGATTTTTTTTATTTATTTTTATTAAAATAAATACTCAACATAGCAATCCAGAAATCACATTAATTTCTGTATAATGCCACAGGTCTGTTACATTTATGCAGCCGATGTATGTTCATTTTTTAATATTATCGTAATCAGCCTAATAAGAACATTTTGCAGATATATTAAATCCGATAAATAATGTATTTTCTTCAGCTGAGACACTTCAGATGTGCACTGTCTGCCATGATGGTTTTAAATTGCTTGAAATATGATTGGAATCACTTTGAAAAAGGAAAATACAGTAAAGTGCAACATGTGCAGCGCAAGTCTGTCATATATCGACTACATAAAATTATATAATGAGAACATCATAATTGTGTGCCTGGGACATGGATTTTAATGGTGAGACTTATGTTTTTGTAATCAGGCTCTCAAAAATTATATAAAAATGTGGATTTAGATTTATCGGCCAATATATCTATTATCGGATTTCAAATAAAAAGAATTATTGGTTATCGGTATCGGCCAAAATGTTCATATCAGTGCATCCCTATGTTTTTTTTTTTTTTTTATCAAAGCACAAGTGACCCTGTTCTTGTAGTTATGGTGCTGTATGTATGAAACAAGCCTTAGAATTGGGTTAAACCCAGCTTTCTTACAAGTCAGCATACTAAAAAGGCAGTGCCAATGCTGCTTTCCTTTTGGAACAGACTTTGTGTCAGGAGCTCATTTATGTTGCCCTAAAAGCCTGTCTAAAGAGGCAGCTCACTAGAAAGGGCCTAATTCTGGTGCGAAAAATACTGCTTTCTGGACAGAGTTTACCGAAGTCGAGCTGGGAGAGCCGTGAGAGGTCGACCATCATTCCTCAGGGAGTGCCCTTCATGGTGAAGCTGCTAAAATACTATGTCAGTGAAGACACTGTGTTCCTCCATCTAGAACGTGTTCAAGGTGAGTAGCACTTTTCACATTGTATATTGTTCCAAAGCAGTTCGACATAGTATATCCCCTGTGAACAAGACAACAGGAGCCAAGATCCTGCTGGGGAACCCAACCATCATATTCAATGAAAATGAGATTTGTCTTTGTTGAACAGACGGTTTTCAGTCCACACTTAAGCTGTGTCTGTGTCTCAAACACCACCCAGAAGGCTATTCCAGAGCTTAGCATCCATATATGATAAGACCCTCTACATGCTCTCGATTTTATAAGTTCTATCAAAAGGTCACATCTGATAGAAGATATTTTAAGTACTGTAAATACAGTACTTAAAGTACTTAAGCATTTTATAAATGACATGCAAACCACAGACATGATAAAATAGGAGAGAGAGAGATGATAAAATTTTCTAAACCTGAATTGTTGCATCTAAAAAAACAAAGCTTGTTTATGGAGCCAATAGTGCATTACAAATCATAAACATAGAGCCTTTTCTGTAACTTAGCAATATTTATCAGAATGCTGTTCTAGAAACATTGGTAATGTGACTTTCAAATGACAAATATTCCCAGTCCCAGGTTCTTGCTGTTGTGCAAAGTGTTATCTAATCAAGATCAGTGTCTTAAGGATTACTAGAAAGTTATAGGCAGATCAAGTCAAGTCACCTTTATTTATATAGTGCTTTTAACAATACAGATTGTTTTAAAGATCCGGCACTGATCCGGCCCAATCTGTTACACATGGATTCCAGATGGTCCAAATGTGGGCCGGATCTGGGCCGACACTAGGCTTGTTTGACTTGAGGCAGTGCATGCCGGTTAGAAATTTTGTCCGACTTGATACAGCGCCGACTCCACGTGACTGTACCTACATTTGAAGGTAGCGATTCGAGAGCAGCCGGAGAACTCAGCCAAGCGCAGCTTCTCAAGAGCGACTGCCTGAGCTCTGATGACGACACAACTGTTCCACGATTGGCCGGATTCACCGCATGACAACGATCACGTGTGTTTCGTGTTTATTCTCACACCTTTAGTTCCACTAAAGCTCACAAATTAGTTTTTTATAACAGTAAACACTCTTTTCATGTAGTCGCGATTAAATTGTGGCATGTTTATCAAAATAAAACTGATTAATAAACGTAGACTCCACTTCATTGACAGTAGCTATAGGCTTATGTTGAAATTTATTCTTGTTCAAACAGACGCTGTATGAAGCAGTACATAAAGTATTGAATGAAAATGTCTCTGAAACATCTGTGGATTTGGAAAATATTGCATTTCTTTCACTTCAGCTGAGGTAAAGTATGCAAACACAGCGCGAGCGTCACTACGGGAGCCAGAAAGTGTCCAACTTCACGTCTCCTTTTTCGGTTACATCCAGCCGCAGCTGATGTCGAACACACCTATGTTGCTGTTTGGGCAGTGATAACAGGAAAAAATGCCACAAAGTTTGTTTCGGCTGTACAGCAGATCTAGAAGAAAATAGTGTCATAGGCCAGCTTAAGTAATTTCAGTGATGGTTAATTTCTGTAAAATAAAGTTATTAATTTAGTTAATTTGTCTATACAGCAGCTCTGGAGAAAACAGTGGTGTCATTGTCCAGCTCAGTTCAGTTCTCATACAATGGGGTCAATGCAGGCAGATCAATTATATTGTTGAATATTAAGTGAACTTACTCTGCAGGAAAGTGGACCTCAAGGGCCAGAGTTGAGAACCCTGCTCTATAGGACACTGGCCCATCAGGAGAAGGATTGGACACCCCTGCTCAGCAGTATCCAAATCAGTACTGTGGTCTATTAATGAAAGGGACGGAGCTAGAATTAGGAGATAAAAGTCAGGAAAAATGTTTAGCATTGCTTTTGGAAATTTCATACATGGGAAAATGTTGTACACTGAAAAAAAAAAAAGATCCATATCAAGGATCTTGAAATCTAGCCTGGAGGTCCACTGTCCTGCAGCTTCAACCCTAATCAAACACTTTAACCAGCTCAAGGTCTTCCGGGTGTGTTGGAACAGGTTGAAGCTATACTCTGCATGACACTGGCCCTAAACTCTACTGCAGGGATTCTAAACTCTGGCCCTCAGGGTCCACTTCTCTGCAGAGTTTGCTCCAACCCTAATTAAACACGCCTGAACAAGCTAATCAAGGTCTGCAGGATCACTACAAACTTCCAGGCAAGTGTGTTGGAACAGGTTGGAGCAACAGTCTGCATGACAGTGGCCCTCTATGATCAGGATTGGATACCACCATCAGTACTGAGGTCTAATCGTGAAATCGATGGTGCAAGAGTCAGGAGATAAAAGTCAAGAAAAATCCATGCATGGGAATATTTGTTGCACACGCTCTGAAAAAAAAAAAATCTATATCAGGAATCTTTATATCTAGCCCTGGAGAATTTAGCCTCAACCCTGATCATAGTAAACTGCCATTTAATTTTCTAGTAATCCTGAAGACCTTTATAAACTTGTCCAGGTGTTTGATCAAGGTTGGACCAAAACTCTGCAGGACACTGGACCTCAAGGTCCTGATTTGAAGGACCCTTATCTATATTGTTTCAACAGTTGGTAGGCCATAAGCTCCTCATAGTCAGTATAGTTGGAGGGCATTTGAAATAGTGGTCCATCTACTCACAATGACATATAGTTTGACAGCTCTGCTTTTCTACAGGTGGAAGACTCTTTTCCAGACTTCACAGGGTCAGAAGTGAAGCAGTCAGGGAGTATCCAGAATGCCTCAGCCCCAACCAGCACAAGATCTACCTGAAGAACAGCTACACCCTCCCTGCTATCCACCAAGATATTTACCTCAATGAGAATTGTGAGAGAACTACACCTCTTGAGAGGCCAGGCAGCCCAGCTGGTCTTTGTCTTGAGAACTGTAGAACCCGTTCCTACTGTGAAGATACGGGGCGCCAACAGGGTTCTCCAGGATTGTATGCAATTAGGACAGATAATGCGCTTCCTTCTGTCTGTCCACACAATGTTCTTAATTCTTTACCTCAGGATAATGTTCCTCTTCCCGTTCATCCCTGTGTGATTGTGGACACTCGGGATCCTCTTGATGTCACTTCCGACCTTCTAGGAAATGATGTCCGCATTGAGCGGATTGACTCTTGCATGGATCTGAACAAAGCTTGGATTGCTTTAGAACCTGCTCAGGGTTGTAAAAGTTTCACTGTTCCAGGATCAAACTCGGATATTCTAGGATTCAGCTGTGCAGCTCAGATCACTCCAGCCTCTTTATTTGGTGAAAACGCACAACCAACCCTTTGCAACACAGTTGACGTACTTCCACAGAGAGTTCGGATAGTTTCCAACACATCACATGTACCTCCACGAAACCAAGCGCATGATGGGTTTTCTCTTGAACAGAGTGTTACTAACTGTAAACCCAGTGGAAATGGACAGCTTGGACAGTTTGTGGCTGAGTTGAGCAAAGTCAGTTCTCATCGCTATCCATTTGAATGTGCAACTCAAAAGCAAGAAGGTATCTCTTTAGACTTCACAAAGATGACTTCTCGGGTGAACTCTGTTGATATGGTGAGGGAGGTTGGGACGGAGGACATGGAGAACTGGCATTTTTTCAGCCCTTCATATAAACAACCTCAAGTTGGCATGATCCCATCAGCGTCTACCACAAACAGCTCCTGTTGGAGTGAGACTAAACTAGAATACCCTTATATGGAACAGCTGATGAAGGTGAACGGCTTGGGCCATCACGCCCAAATTAAGGCCAAGAACTTCAGTGCCAAATGGAACGGGGGTAGACAGGGACTCCCCGAGGACGAGGTGCGACTGTGGGGAGCTCAGATTCTGTTGGCATTGGAAAGTCTTCATGAGCAGGGCATCATGTGCCAGGACCTAAACCCAAGAAATGTTCTACTTCGCAGCAGTGGTATGTCTTCTGCTGCCAAGTCTTTAGTCTTCAACTCTGATCCTGCAGGGCCACTGTCCAGTAGTGATGTTCGATTATTGAACAAATCCTTGTTGTAAGCCAGTAACCGGTCGAGTCGGTTCACAGAATCAAACTTTATTTCCAGGTTGATGACGCAAGATGCACATTCGAAGTAGGACATACACTTCTTTCACAGCACAGAATAAACCAGTAAGCATGTCCAGAAATGAAGAATCAAAACTACAGGCAGAGTTAAAAGTCACCTTTTCGGTCATGTCTGACTGGAAAAAGACCCGAATGAGCTGTCAAAGTTCTCAGAGGATAACCAGTGGGTCGAGTCAGTACTTTTTGATTCATTTATTTTTAATCGTTTTTTTGATTCAGTAACCCATCTGGACATGGTCACTGGCTCATTCGGTGCTGCAAAGGAGCATTTGGTCATGCCAATCACTGTACTGATTGACTACAACAAACACTGATCCCTAAACCTACCTGTCACTGTAACCTAAACCAATGAAATCGGCTGCAGGGTGGGATTTCCGCTGAACTGGTTTGGAAAAAAAAATCACAGGTATCATCAACCCGGAAATAAAGTTAGATTCAGTTCAATTCTGTGAACCGGCTCGACTGGTTACCGGCTTAAAAGAACATCACTATTATCCAGCAGAGTTTAGCTCTAGCCCTAATTAAACACACTCAAACAAGGTAATTAAGGTCTTCGGGATTACTAGAAAGTTACAGCCTGTTGAGTCTGATTGGGTTTGGAGCAAAATTCTGCATGACGGTTTCCCTCCAGAACTGGAGTTGAAGAGCCCTGTCCTATGCATCTTAACATTACAATTGTACATATATAATCCTGCTCCTGGATGGCTACCATCCTGCAGAGTTAAGCTCAAACGTGCTCCAACACACCTGGAAATGCAAATCACAGAATTACATGACAATAACAGGCAGGTGTTGGACCAGGTTGAAACTGAAATCTGCAGGAAGGTAGAACTCCAAGAGCAGGATTTGCTAACCTTGAACTACACATTGACAGTATGTTTACTCTTTTTCAGTTATCTGATATAATAAAGGAAAGGTTCACAGAAAAATACATTTATCCATCATTAATTCACTCACAGGAAACGAGAACATACTCTTGTCCATATAAAGAAATGATTGGTGATTTTTACTGTCAAGATCTGAAGGAAAAATGGCAGATAAAATGCGTCACACTAGGTTAGACATCATTGTTACCAAACATAATTGGTTCATCATCATTGGATTGTGATGGCTTTGTATCATATGACTTCAGAAGATTTGGAATACATGGCTTATTGTTGTTTATGGAACTATTTTGTCATTTCATTGTCAATTTCATTAGATGGAAAAGAGCTGCTCGGACATTATGTCTAGCATCTCTTTTTGTGTTTCACGGAGGAAAGACAACAGGTTTGGAACGTCATTCTAGTATTTTAAAACAGTGGTTCAAATGCACACAGGTGAGGCGTGTCTTACGTACTTTGGACTATGGACGGAAGTTCAGCCTGAAATTAACCCGAAAGCAATGGAAGAGATGTACTGTGCACCAGGTAAGACATTTCAATTGTTTATTCATAATCACATCAAACTGCAACATTTCTAAGACACATTCTGTTGTCTTGAAATGTAATGACTATTTATTTTTCTAATTTGGTGCAGAAATTGGAGGCGTATCGAAAATCACAGAGGCATGTGATTGGTGGAGTCTTGGAGCTTTATTATATGAGCTTCTTACTGGCATGGTAAGCAAACTTTTTCTGCTTTAAAAGTAAAGAATTAAAACTAACCCAAGAATGACTGGAAACGGCTCAGATTGTTAGATGTGACACCTTTACTATGTATTTGTTAGTGAAAGTCAAATTTGTCTGTTTTGTCATGTATAGGCTTTTGAGGTATTTTTGTAGTCGCCTTTGAGCAAAATCTACTACAATTATATAACGTATCAAAACGTGACCTTGGTTACTCGTATAACGCTGGTTTCCTGAGAGGAGAGAACGAGACATTGTGTCAGTAGCTAAGCTATGGGGAAATAATTCGTTACATTTATATAGTGCTTTTCTCTGCACGCAAAGCATTTGACACATGGAAGGGGGAATCACCTCAACCACCACCAATGAGCAGCATCCACCTGGATGATGCGACGGCAGCCATATTGCGCTGGTGCCTGTCTCTGCGCCTCGGTGAAACACCCAGTGAATGCTTCCACTCTGTCCCCAAACAGACCCGTTGGACTCACCGGTGCAACCAGGAGCGCCTCCTTGTCTGAGTCCTTTAACCTGTGAGTGTTAGCCATTGATGGCAATCCATCTCCACTAAGCTCCCCATTGTGCAGCCAATAGACTGGGCCATCGTTTTTGTTGCTTTCGGCACCAAGCCAGTAGCGCTATGAAGTTCCTTGAGGACGTCCAGGTCTGGGTCGGTCTCGTCCATCTCTTTCAGCCTCTTTGCTTGATATACTTGCAGGATAGCTATCGTATGGAGGGCTGAAGCTGTGACAGTGTGTGCAGTGCTTGGCCAGCTTCAGTGAATGCCTTCTCTGCGATGCTGCCGGTTGCACTGTAGGGCTTGGAGGGATGAACTGCCGGGGATTTGGCGTCCGCGGCTTCCTCGACCAGAGGGAAGCATGAGGCACGCCATAAGGTGAGCCATGCCGTTAGGTGAGAGGCACGCCAGGTCTTAGAGACCGGCCGACCTAGAGCCGCCGTGTGGAATTCACATGTACCAGATGTGGGCTGAATGTGGGCCGGCACTATGTTGCTGTCTGCATCCTTCTGTAGCGTCGACATTTCTATCATGGAGCTCCACTCCTCTCTCTCTGACTCCGGTGTGGACATCACATCCTCATCATCCTCAGATGTGCCAAAAGAGACTACATCTTGGGCTCCAGGAGAGGGGCGAATGCAAGCTTCTATAAAATATACAGGCGAAGATGGCTCAGACGGACGAGGGGTCCGAGGGCATTGAGCAAATGGGCACATCTGCTTCTTCTGCGGCTTGGCTCAAGTGGTCGATTGGAGTCAGGAGCCTCATCTACCATTACGAGAGCAAGCCGAGGAGGAGAGAAAGGGCTGTCATGCCTTCACAGTGGGGGCAGTCCAAGCCACTCAGTGCTGTCTCCGTGTGGGTGCGACCCAGGCAGAAAACACAGCAATCGTGGTGATCCTTGTCTTTAAAGAGGTGGTATAATGCCCTTTTCACAAGATGTAAAATAAATCTCTGATGTCCCCAGAGTGTGTATGTGAAGTTTTAGCTGAAAATACCTCACAGATATTTTTATAGCATGTTAAATTTGTCACTTTTTGAGGGTGAACAAAAAGGCACCGTTTTTGTGTCTGTCCCTTTAAATGCAAATGAGCTGCTGCTCCCGGCACAGAGGGCGGAGCTACAACAACTTGTGTCCTTTTACCCCACACAGACAAACATTTAAAAAACTTTTAGCCTTTTATGTTCAAACCGGAGTCAGAAATGTTGTTTATGCTCAAACAGCAACATTACACACTAACTAAAGTTAGAAAAGTGAAATCATAATCAACCACCCCTTTAAGAGGTTTCTCACAGGAAGAACAGGTCTCACAAAGCTTCGTTGTCAGCTACTGATGAAATGCTGAGTGAACCAAACTCAAAAAGGAACAACAAATCTCCTTGGTCTTGAATGTGTTGAGACTGTTGTTTTCATCTGTTCAACTTTGTTTCTCTCCAGCCGCTGTGGCAGTGCCACCCTTCAGGCGTTCACCCTCACACTCCTCTCCACATCCCAGAGTTCCTCAGTTCTGCAGCCGCCTCGCTTCTCACTGAGGTAACTGCTCTCTCAATACAAACTGATATGACAGTGTGCGCAGTGCTTGAGTCATGTGACAACCACCTATTTAGGTAATGTAGAATAGTCACAATAGAGAAGAAATTGTTAGATAATAGAGAGGACATATCTCACCAAAAGATAATTAGACCTATAATTTTTAACCATAATATGTAAAAAAAAACATAATATGTAATATGTAACAAATCAAAGTCAACAATGTATTCCAAACCATAGATTTTACAAACAAAAAGAAAATAATATATATATATATATACAGTATATAAATGCAAGTCCAATATCACATAAAATTGACAAAACTTGGATTTTACAAAAATAAATACATTTAAAAAAAGCACTAACGTATGACAAATCTGCTAAGGTTTTTTGGATCTTGTAAATGTCATTCTTTTTAGGAGACTTAATCAAATTAGCTATGTTTCCATCCAAAACTTGTGCACAAAATAAATAATTTGCAAATAAAGCACTGGTTCCATTCCATGTGTTCAAGAGAAAAAAATCGTCACTTCCTGGAAAATTTGCGCGAAAAATCAGTAATTACTGTAAAATGAAAGTTGCTACAATCGGGTAAAACCCACTTTGGCTTTTTTCCTGCATCATAAATTACTTGCGAAAAACCAACATTTGAGATGCTGTGCAACGCGATTGGTCCGCTGGTTTGTCCAGTTGTCCAATCACATCCTCTGCTGCCGCAAAGTTAGCTTCGAGGGATTTATTCATTAAATGTGTTTCCATCGTAGTGTCTTCTTATTGGATTAAAAAAATTGCAATACCACCTGGGGATGGTGTCGCCATTCTCCCGGTAGCACCCGCTGCCGTGAGAGCTCGTCGGCTGCACGGTTGAGCAGGGCCGGAATATAAACGGCACGAAGCGACCTCAGATGCTTCTGACTCCAGAGGAGGAGATGGCGGGCGAGTTGTGACCTGCGACGTGAGCGTAGTAGACCACCTTGGCGGTTGATGTACGCAACGGTCGCAGTGCTGTCCGAACGGACCGGTACATGCTTGCCTAGTAGCGGTGTTTTGAAGCGGCCCAGCGCAAGATGTACTGCTAACAACTCGAAGCATTTGATGTGCCAACGCAGTTGAGGCCCCGCCCACAGACCTGAAGCTGCATGCCCGTTGTACATGGCCCCCCAGCCGGTGGCAGAGGCATCCGTGTAGACCACAGAATGCCTGGACACTTTTTAGGGTAGGGGAACACCAGCCTGCAGGAATGAAGGGTCCGACCACAAGCTGAGAGTTTGGCGACAATGCAGGGTCACTTGGACCCAGCACGAGCCGCTCTGCCACGCCCATCTCAGGACTCGATCATGGAGCCAGTGTTGGAGCGGCCTCATATGAAGTAAACCGAGTGGGGTTACCGCGGCTGCAGATGCAATATGCCCCAGGAGCCTCTGAAAAAGTTTCAGTGGTGTCGCTGTTCTCCGTCTGAGCGTGCTCACACAGTTCAACACTGACTGGACGCGGGCCTCGGTGAGATATCATATTGATCGAGTCCAGCTCCATACCGAGAAAAGAGATCTTCTGCCCGGGGGTGAGTTTACTCTTTTCCCAGTTCACCCAAAGCCCTAGGTGAATGAGCACCATGTCCCTGTGTTCGCACAACTGCTCTCGCGACTGGGCTAGGATAAGCAAGTCGTCGAGGTAGTTGAGGACACGAACACCATGCTCGCACCATGCTGGTTGGGAGCAATGGTTTCGAAAGTCTCCGCGACTTTCGTGAAGACACGGGGTGACAGGGCCAGCCTGAAGGGTAAGACTTTGTACTGATATGCCCGCCCCTCGAACGCAAAGCAAAGTCTGTTTCGAGGGAGAATCGAGACATGAAAGTACACATCTTTCAGGTCGATCGCTGCAAACCAATCTTGGGGACGGATGCACTTGAAAATGTGTTTCTACGTAAGCATCTTGAACGGTAGCCTGTGAAGGGACCGGTTCAGGACACACAGGTCCAAAATTGGTCGTAACCCACCTTTCTTGGGAACAATGAAGTACAGGCTGTAGAAGCCGGTCTTCATATCGGCTGGAGACACCGGCTCGACAGCGTCCTTCACCAGTAGGACAGCGATCTCTGCCCTGAGCACAATGAATGCTGGGGGATGCCGGGCGAACTGAATCGCATAGCTGAGTCTGATAGTACGGATGAGCCAGCGAGACGGGCTGGGAAGCGCTAGCCAGGCTCCCAGACACCGTGCAAGCGGGACCAACGGCACCACAGACGTACCCGGGGTGGGGCAGCGAGGCGGAATGCAGGGACCTGACTCTGACGGCATAGCGGCCCGGAGTGGGGTCTGAGTGTCTTGGGACCCAGAGGTCTTAGAAATTGCTCTTTTATTGAAATTGTGGGTACCCGGGGGGCAGTGGCGTAACAAAAAGAAAAGGAAACAAAAGATTCTTCACCTGGCACTCGCTGGGGGAAAGAGCGGCACGTTCACCATCTCCTGAAGAGCAACTTGATCCACCTCTGGGTCGCTCGTTTGCACCTCCGCTTGCCTCCTGGATGGAGGTGGTCGAATCCTGCGGCTTGCTCCACCCTGAGGCCTGGGTGGTGGCCGCCGCAGACCCTCCGTCCGCTTGTCGCAGAGGTCGACCTCCTGGTGGCGGACGGGCGGAGATTTGCAATATTTCGTTAATTTCTATATATTGTGAAGCCCTAATATTTATTAAACGAGTCCAATATAGTTCACGCTGTATCTTTGTGTAAATTTGTGAACACTTCCCCAGTCACTCCACTCAAGCCGGTTGAAGTGAAGTTATTTAAACTAGTGGTTTCTGAGTAGTCAGAATCTAGACTTCCTTCGAGCAACTTAAAATCATCATAAACATATGTACATAAATATGCCTTAAAACATACATGGATATTGCATGGAATATAAGAACATGAATGCAGTGTGTAAACTGTACTAATCAATGATCCGCATGTACGGATGTACCATATGTGGTGTATCACCCTCTTTTTCTAATGCTTCTCATATTAGTATATACAATCTTTTCTCTTCTGTCTTTGTATTTTCTGCATAACTGTGAGCCACCGCTGACGGTTCCCTGAAAGCAAGCGTTTCTCCTTGTTTCCCGCAGTTGCTCCAGTGTGAAGCGTGTTATCGTCTGGGATCAGGAGGCGGTGGCGTGAGCGACATCAAGTGCCATCCGTTCTTCACCTCCGTCCCGTGGCTCACACTCACGCCGTAGTGCCGTGTGAAAGTATTCACCCCCTACATCTGTTTCTGCTGACATTAAAGATGTGTGTTGAGCACAGTATCCATTACACTGAGGCTGAGTTTCTGAAACTTGCATTATTCTTTTTATTTTTAATAGTTAAATTATTTCACTTTTGGCAGGTCAAGCAAATATCTAAATGATAAATGTGAAAAGCTGACATGTGTTAGTGCTATACTGCACATTTTCACAAATATACAGTCTGTATATTTGGGCGTTTCTGCATTTAATAAATTACCATACTTTAGGCATTATAAAAAACTGCACACTAATGAAATGGTAAGTGTAGTGAGCTAGTATGCTATTCTAAACATGAGCTAAAAGTGTCAGGTTATCAATACGTCAGTTTCCCTGGTATATGTCAGCATTCCCGGTGAGAGTGGAAACACCTCGGCAAGCTTTTATTAGACCAGACGGCAGAAACAATGAATGTGGGTGAATCTTTACTGGAGCTCTGAAGTGGATCACAGCCTTTATTCCTGGAGGATTTATGGATTCATCGTGTACTTTTACCACCATCTGGTGGAACCAGGAGATATTTCTCCACATCAGCAGTTTTCTACATCACACACAGACCTGAACAGCTGGATCGCAGGGAAGCCCTTCTCTGCCAGATAAGAGAAGAAGAAAAATCATGCTTTTGTAAATCATAATTCAAAAACAAAAGTCAACACTATGACTTAAAAGTAAAGAATCTGACATAAAAAGCCAAAATTATGACATACTGTCATATTTAATAGACGAAAAGTCGAAATTATGACAATCATAATTATGAGATAAAAAGCAGATAATGATTTAAGAAGTTATAATTATGACAAACATCATACTGTCAACTTTGACTTAAAGTAGAAATTTGGACATAAAAGACCTAAAAAATCATAATTATGATGATAAAGAATTATATTGTAACAAAGTCATAATTTCGACTATTTCAGAATTTTGTAATTTTCATAACTGTGGCTTAGTATGCCAATTTTGACTTTTGTGATTATGACTTTTTATATCATAATTATGTCAAAAAGTCCAAATGATGACACTCTTATTTAAGAGATGAGAAGTCAAAATTATGAAATATTAAGTCATATTTAAGAGATGTCAAAATAATGATTGTCATGAGATGAAGTATGACTTAAAGGGTCATAAATTAGGACAAAAAAATCTAAATTGACACCGTTGACATAATGACAGTAGAAAATCTGACATTCTAAGTCAAAATTATGTCATATTTAATATAGATGAAAAATCAAAATTATTAGTCATAATTATGAGATGAAAAGTAGATCTATGATTTGTCATAATAAAGACTAAGTCAAAATTATAACAGTCATAATTTGACTCATAATTTTTTAACTTTCATAATTATGGCTTAGCATGTCAATTTTGACATGTCATTATGACTTTTTATATCATAATTATGACAAAAAGTCAAAATTATGACATTTAAGATATTAAAAAAGTAAAATTATGACATACTAAGTCGACATTGACTTAAAAAGTAAGAATTATGACAAGTTGAAATTCTGACTCAAAAAGTCACATTATGATATAAAAAGTCTAAATTATGACAGTTAAAATTATGGCAAAAATCAATTATAACTTAAAAATGTGAAATTATGGGTTAGTATGTCATAATTTTGATTTATGTCAATTTTGACTTTTTAATCTCATGATTATGACTTTCTCCCCCGGTGTCACAGACCAGGCTTAATCGAGTCTCAGACTATAATGCATCTTTGAGCTGTTTGATATGAAAAGCATTTCTTAAAATATGTCAGTGCCATTGATTCATCTCTAGATTCACATCAGTAATGTTTTTAAGGCACATTTATAAAAGCTGCATATATGTAAGGCCTAATCCTGGCTTAATCTAAACCCTGTCTGTGAAACCAGGCCTGTACGTTATAATTATGACTTTTTATTAGATTTGCCACGGCATGACTTTTTTCTTTATGTGACATAAATGGTCTGAAGGTCGATTCGGGGCATTCAAACTTTGCACTTGCTGTTCTGCAGATCAAATGCAATATTACCGAACACCAAACACGTGTTTAATCCTCTCCATTTTCAAATGAATGTCTTTTCTTGATCTTACGTGATTGCATTCAATAAAACCACTCATTTCTTACTAGTTGTTGTGAATTATTCTGAAAGACAAACACAGAAGCATATCTGTCAGAGCAAATATATTAGCAAGTGTGAATCTGATTAGAAGCATAATGTGATCTTTGAGATTATTTTTTAAAAAGCCCCGCTGATCTCATGTTTGTGGAAGTGTAAAGCAGGTGTGTGTGTGTGTGTGTGCTTTGTAATCTTTCCAGGCGTGAGAATAAAAAACCAAGTGACCTCAAAGCATCTTCAGCATGTGAGCCTCTCACCACACACCAGACCTGCACTGTACCTTACTTTCATATTCTCCAGAAGTCTTGTGCGCGTGCTGAACACAACCACACACACACACACACACACACGCTCTGAGGGAAACCTCATCTCATGATATGTGTGTCCGTCTGGAGTCCCAGTGCAGCAGCATCTCGAGCTCCTTAATACATGTGCAAAAAACAATTCACAAAAACGTGAACACGTTACTAAGCTCGTTTCCGCCACAGAACAAAACATTTTATAACACAATTGCGACTTTATCACGCAATTCTGACTTTATAACACAATTGCAACTATCACGCAATTCTGACTTTATAACACAATTGCAACTATCACGCAATTCTGACTTTATAACACAATTGCGACTTTATCACGCAATTCTGACTTTATAACACAATTGCGACTTTATCACGCAATTCTGACTTTATAACACAATTGCGACTTTATCACGCAATTCTGATTTTATAACATAATTGCAACTATCACGCAATTCTGACTTTATAACACAATTGCGACTTTATCACGCAATTCTGACTTTTTAACACAATTGCGACTTTATCACGCAATTCTGACTTTAACACAATTGCAACTATCATGCAATTCTGACTTTATAACATAATTGCGACTTTATATCTCGCAATTCTGATTTTATAACATAATTGCAACTATCACGCAATTCTGACTTTATAACACAATTGCGACTTTATCACGCAATTCTGACTTTATAACACAATTGCAACTATCACGCAATTCTGACTTTATAACACAATTGCAACTATCACGCAATTCTGACTTTATAACACAATTGCGACTTTATCACGCAATTCTGACTTTATAACACAATTGCGACTTTATCACGCAATTCTGACTTTATAACACAATTGCGACTTTATCACGCAATTCTGATTTTATAACATAATTGCAACTATCACGCAATTCTGACTTTATAACACAATTGCGACTTTATCACGCAATTCTGACTTTTTAACACAATTGCGACTTTATCACGCAATTCTGACTTTAACACAATTGCAACTATCATGCAATTCTGACTTTATAACATAATTGCGACTTTATATCTCGCAATTCTGACTTTATAACACAATTGCGACTTTATCACGCAATTCTGACTTTTTAACACAATTGCGACTTTATCACGCAATTCTGACTTTAACACAATTGCAACTATCATGCAATTCTGACTTTATAACATAATTGCGACTTTATATCTCGCAATTCTGATTTTATAACATAATTGCAACTATCACGCAATTCTGACTTTATAACACAATTGCGACTTTATCACGCAATTCTGACTTTATAACACAATTGCAACTATCACGCAATTCTGACTTTATAACACAATTGCAACTATCACGCAATTCTGACTTTATAACACAATTGCAACTATCACGCAATTCTGACTTTATAACACAATTGCGACTTTATATCTCGCAATTCTGACTTTATAACACAATTGCGACTTTATTTCTCGCAATTCTGACTTTATAACACAATTGCGACTTTATATCTCGCAATTCTGATTTTATAACATAATTGCAACTATCACGCAATTCTGACTTTATAACACAATTGCGACTTTATCACGCAATTCTGACTTTATAACACAATTGCAACTATCACGCAATTCTGACTTTATAACACAATTGCGACTTTATATCTCGCAATTCTGACTTTATAACACAATTGCGACTTTATTTCTCGCAATTCTGACTTTATAACATAATTGCAACTATCACGCAATTCTGAGTTTATAACATAATTGCGACTTTATATCTCACAATTCTGACTTTATAACACAATTGCAACTATCACGCAATTCTGACTTTATAACATAATTGCAACTATTACGCAATTCTGACTTTATAACATAATTGCGACTTTATATCTCACAATTCTGACTTTATAACACAATTGCAACTATCACGCAATTCTGACTTTATAACATAATTGCGACTTTATATCTCGCAATTCTGACTTTATAACATAATTGCAACTATCACGCAATTCTGACTTTATAACATAATTGCGACTATCACGCAATTCTGACTTTATAACACAATTGCAACTATCACGCAATTCTGACTTTATAACACAATTGCAACTATCACGCAATTCTGACTTTATAACACAATTGCAACTATCACGCAATTCTGACTTTATAACACAATTGCAACTATCACGCAATTCTGACTTTATAACATAATTGCGACTTTATATCTCGCAATTCTGACTTTATAACATAATTGCAACTATCACGCAATTCTGACTTTATAACATAATTGCGACTTTATATCTCGCAATTCTGACTTTATAACACAATTGCAACTATCACGCAATTCTGACTTTATAACACAATTGCAACTATCACGCAATTCTGACTTTATAACACAATTGCAACTATCACGCAATTCTGACTTTATAACATAATTGCGACTTTATATCTCGCAATTCTGACTTTATAACATAATTGCAACTATCACGCAATTCTGACTTTATAACATAATTGCGACTTTATATCTCGCAATTCTGACTTTATAACATAATTGCAACTATCACGCAATTCTGACTTTATAACATAATTGCAACTATCACGCAATTCTGACTTTATAACATAATTGCGACTTTATATCTCGCAATTC